ATAAATTTGATGGATGGATTAGTAAATAAATAAATAAATAAATAAATAAATAAATAAATAAATAAATAAATAAATAAATAAATAAATAATGCCTCCAACTACTTTGGGAGGATAGTAAGCATTCTGAAAGGAGGTAAATAATAAATGCTAAATAGTTAAATAAATCAGGATATCCATTTTTCTTCCTTTCCCTTTTTTTTTTGGAATCCTTGATCTATTTTATATTCGTGAATTAAAATGTGTAACCTGAATAAGCTGTCTTTCTACTTTAGTTAAATATATGTATCAGCAGATCAGCAGAAGGCAATGACCACATTAGAAAATACAGTGGTTTACTATTGGTTCTTGTAAACAGAAACATAATAATTCTCTGAAAAGTAGCAGCTGCTTGGTAACAGCAGCCATTCAGAGAGTTTGTGCTTCTACACTTTCTATTTTTGATTCAAAGCCCTGAAGATACAAATAAGCAAGATGATGCCTGGTTGCTTTAATCTAACAATACTGCTATAAACTTGTCAAGACAAGCTTTGGACACAAAGGTTACACAAAAATATCTCTCCCATTTTTTTTTACTCAAACATTTATATTCAAAATCATCAGCAAAACAGAGAATTCTCAGATAAGCAAGTTCAATCATACCAGTTCATTGCTTCAAAAGAACTGTTAATTGCCTCCCTGCCTCACTCCCTAATACTGAACAACATGATCTACTTTTGTAAAGGATCCTTATGTTATAAAAGAAATATAATAAACTTATAATTATGACAAGTATATGCTGTAGTTTTCAAATATTCCATTTAACTAATACCTAAAATGCTTTTCTTTTTAGGAAATCAACTTCTGAATAAGATGCTTATTGGAAAATTCAATTTAAAAAATAAAGCTATAATCTGGGGGAAACTATTATTTGACATTGTTATATAATGCATTCCCCTTTATGGATTACTGCCTTGTCATGGCGAAGGGGCTTGCGTAACTCAATGAAGCTATGAGCTATGCCGTGCAGGGCCACCCAAGATGGACAGGTCATAGCAGAGAGTTCTGACAAAATGTGATCCACTGGAGAAGGAAATAGCAAACCACTCCAATATCTTTGCCATGAAAACCCCACAGACAATACTAAAAATTATAATGCATTAGTACTGGATCCCTTAGAATAGATTTGGTGATATTTCAATTAAAATATTTTATTTTCTTCCCAAAATAACCAACTAGTTTATAAACAAAGAACACATTACAAATAAGCTTCCTAAATTAAAAAAAACAACAGCATCACAATGATATGCTTTTTACTTAAATGTAGTCCCAGGAACCTGGCTATATTTTACAACTTCTAATTACTGAATTACATCACAGCTATTTAAGACTTACAGCTATCATAACAGAAGCTCTGAAGAAAAAGTTCCAGCTGAACCTGTGGATATAAACCTTAGGAGACAAAGAACCCAGAATCACATGAGGCATTACCCGCATAGCTGGAGCAGCCAGATGGAGATAATGTAAAGCAGGGTGTCAAACTGCCGGCCCACTGACCGGATGCATCATAGCAAAACCATGTCCACCCCATTGCCGGCAATGGCAAAAAAGTCACAATACATTGCAACATGTCACGTGATGTTGCGAGTTTGACACCCCTGATGTACAGCATCCCAATCCCCTTAATTGGCAAGTAGAGAGTAGAGTCTTTCCATCAGTTCCTTGCCAAACAAGGGAGTAAATCTCTTGCCCAGTCCTGGCCCATGTTCCCTTTGCTGAAAACAATGTCTGATCTTTGGTTCTTCTGTGATATTCCTGTGAACCTTGTTTATGTAAGAAACTTTGAATCTCTAACTTCTGGACTGACTGACAATCCTGGCATGGCTTTTGGAACCTTGGACTGATTTTGGACTATTCTTCTGTGTCCTTTTATTTAAAATCCAAATCATTCAGGCAAGTGTCTGAGACAACCTTTATGTGTTATCTGTTGATGAGTAAATTATGAACTAACATAGCAATTGTGTGAGAGTAGTGAAACCAGTTAGGCCATGTCATGTGAGGGAAGTCACTGGAAAAAGCAATTATTTTTGGAAAAGTTAGTGGTAAAAGGAAACCAGACCACCAAATAACACACCATCAAAGTTGACACCAGCAAGAGCATAGAACAACTCAAAGAAATAGTGCAAGATTGGAAGATGTGGAGAGACCTGGCCCATAGAATTGCCAAGATTCAGACACAACTGAATGGATATAATCATCATCAGTGAAATTAGGACAAGAGTCATTTGCATAAATATGGGAATTTGGTATCTCAGCTTGATTAATTCTAGAAAAAAACAACAGATTCCTACTGAACCATTTAGGGACCCTATTTAGATACTTCTAACAAAAGCATTAATTTATATCCACTTTCAATTAATTTTGATTTATTTTCAACTCTTGGATAAAGTTGTACACAGGCATGCCAAATGTAAATGTTTATAGGCCAATTGAATTGCATGTATATAGTGCATGATCTATCCATGAAGAACAGGGTGAACTATCAATCAGATAATTACATGGTTGTACCGTTTCACCTATTTTTTAGCATAGTCAAAAATGCACATTCATGAACATTAACTTATATTAGTGCATTGTCTGCATTCACATAATTAAGTATTTTGCTATAACTAAATAAATAAATTAATAATAATAATAATAATAATAATAATAATAATAATAATAATAATAATAATAATAATAATAATAATAAAGTTGGAAGGGACCTTGGAGATCATTTAGTCCAACCCCCTGCTCAGGCAGGAAACCCTACACCATTTCAGACAAATGGCTGTCCAGTCTCTTCTTAAAAACTTCCAGTGTTGGAGCATTCACTGCTTCTGGAGGCAGGTAGTTCCATTGGTTAATTGTTCTAACTGTCAGGAAGTTTCACCTTAGTTCTAGGTTGCTTCTCTCCTTGATTAGTTTCCATCCGTTGCTTCTTGTCCTGACTTCAGGCGCTTTGAAGAATAGCTTGACTCCCTCTTCTTTGTGGCAGCCCCTGAGATATTGGAACACTGCTATCATGTCCCCCCTCGTCCTTCTCTTCGTTAAACTAGACATACCCAATTCCAGCAACCGTTCCTTATATGTTTTAGCTTCCAGTCCCCTAATCATCTTTGTTCTCTGTACTCTTTCTAGAGTTTCAGCATCTTTTTTACATCGTGGTGACCAAAACTGGATGCAGTATTCCAAGTGTGGCCTTACCAAGGCATTGTAAAGAGGTATTAATACTTCATGTGATCTTGATTCTATCCCTCTGTTAATGCAGCCTAGCAGTGTGTTGGCCTTTTTGGCAGCTGCAGCACACTGCTGGCTCATATTAAAGTGATTGTACACTAGGACTCCAAGGTCCCTCTCACAGTTACTACTATTGAGCAAGGTACCCCCTATACTATACCTGTGCATTTGGTTTTTCTTGCCTAAATGTAGAACCTTACTTTTTTCACCATTGAATTTCATTTTGTTGGATAGTGCCCAGTGTTCAAGTCTGTCCAGATCCTCCTGTATCTTAAGCCTGTCTTCTGGAGTGTTGGCTATTCCTGCCAGCTTGGTGTCGTTTGCAAATTTGATGATTTTCCCATCTTTCCCTTCGTCCAAATCGTTGATGAAGATGTTGAAGAGCACTGGGGCCAGAACAGAGCCCTGGGGCACCCCACTACATACTTCCCTCCATGTAGATGTGGTTCCATTGAGGACCACACGCTGAGTATGGCTGGTCAGCCAGCTACCCATCTGGTGGTGATGCTGTCTAACCCACATTTTTCTATCTTATCAAGTAGTAGGTTGTGATCTACTTTATCAAATGCCTTACTGAAGTCCAAGTAAATTATATCCACAGCATTCCTCTGATCCACTAATTTTGTCACTTGGTCAAAAAATGCAATAAGATTTGTCTGGCATGATCTGTTTTTGACAAACCCATGTTGGCTGTTAATTGAGCAATGTCTAGATGCACTAATGAGCTAATCGTTAGCATTTGCTTGGAGTTAAATAATGGTTAATGGAATGCAAGGGAGTTTGGGCTTAGTTTCCTTGTGAGGATGCCAGGATTTTAGGCTGATCCCTCTTAACTCTGTCTCTCCTTCTACAAATGTATCTGAAAGCAACACACTGAGTCAGATGTTAGTCAACCTTTGCTTTAATAAACTGACTTTATGTACTATGATTCTATATTGCCAACATGTGGTTGAGAAAATACTTTCCAATCCTTAAAAACCTAGGTTTTTCCAATGACATGATATAGCACAAACAAGAGAAATTACAGTGCATTAATCATGTGAGCTGTATTTCAAAGGCTTGAAAGAGGATATATTTTAATGGCTACTAGACATGTTATCTAGTATCACATTTAAAACAATTATGCTATTAATAACCATCTATTAGCAATGGAAGAAGACTATTATCTTCCCCTGGTATACCCACATGTGATCAACTATTTTGTGACTCATTTCTGGATTAGCTGGACTTTCCTCCCACGTTAACAGGCCTTTTCTGAATAAGAGAAACAATGGATTGGAAAGCAATTAGATAGCATGCTTTTCCACTTATGACAGTCTGTCCACCATCATTCAAATCTGAATCAGCCCTTTTGTCAAATAGGCCTGCATACAACAGTAAAGCAATAGACAGTAGTCTATGGCACCTGTGGCTGACAATGATTAACTTGACTGCAGTTAAATAAATAGCAGGCACCTGTAAAGACTACTTCCTAAAGGTATAACAACTGTTTGGCAATGATCATGCTGGCAAAACAGCTGCTTCCATTCTGGAGCACAAACAAAGTAGTGTCTTCAGCAACTGTCAACTCTGGTGCTTTATCGGTGCTATCTCATTAGCTAGAAAGAAGGCTTAAATGCTTTGTTTATAAATTATGATTATTTCTGATTGCAGCAGTTACTGATAGTGCCACTCATTTGCAATGCAATTCTTTGAATTTGTTTAATTACAATTTGAAACAAGACAGAGAAGATTAATTAACCCACCTGGCTGGCTGGCACATACTCCTGGCTCGGCTCTGTCATACTCATATACATGTTTTCACCGTCAAACTACAAACAGAAAAAAAATATATAAATCAACAACTTTTAATGCTTCTAGCAAAATGTGATAGCTATAATAAAAAAAAATTACAGCTTGCTTTGAAAGGCTGTTTCTGTTGTCATCCTTATTGACCCTGGATGTCAGTGATTAGAGGTAATTAGTGCTCTAGTAATTACAGTAAGCAATGAATGGTTTCTTTTCATCTGCAATCTGTTTTAAAACAAAATGGCTCATTTTCAGTACCATGTATATGTGTGTGTGTGTGTGTGTGTGTGTGTATGTATGTATGTATGTGTGTATACATACATACATACATACACATAAATGTACATATATACACATAAACTTACACACATACTGCTGGTAGGATAATGAAGTAAAATGTGACTTGAACATTTCTGACAAGGAAAAAGTACTATAAAAACAATAAATTATTTTTAGTAAATTCTGAATTTTGTCTGCACAAAAATAAAATCAACCTGATACTGTACCCTTAATATATCACCCATTTAGAAAAGAAGAAAAAACAGTAAATGTTCAAAATATTTCAGGCAAATTTATCCAAATAGTTAATAAAACATTTTTTCTAATAGAATAAAAACAAATGTCCATATTGTTATAAATGAAATTACCATGACAGAATAAGATAATTTATACATTTTCTTCCCTTAAATACAGATTGATTAAACTCAAATGACATCAATCAAATCAGCAATTAAACTGATAGCATAATATTCAAAATATAATTTTTCTTCATGCCTATTGTAATCCACAATTTTTAGACTAACAAAACATATATATGGCAGATGATTAAATATATTTTTATTCAATACTTTCAGAAATGTTTGGTATATCCCAAACTTTCCTAATATTATAGTGTACCACCACCTAGATTCAATGAATCATTTACAAAAATAATTATGTTGCAATGAGGTACCCCATAAATTTTGTTTAGGATAGTAGGGTTCTGTTCATATATGACTGACCAAACCTATCTTATGTTCCCTATATTAATGGACAGGAAAATCGGAACAAAGTCTGGTTTTCAGAAGTCATGGTCAAATAAGATGCCCAGAGCACTCTACATATTGTATGTCTTTAGAAAAGTACAGAAGATTCCCCCAGATTATTTTTACAAAGACAGTGAAGAACTTTGTTCTTTACTACCTCTGTAACTGAAATAATTTCCTGACTCAGGTTGATAAGCATCTTTTTAAAAAAGTCCCATTGGGAGGATATTTTCTAAAGCATCCAGAGCTAAAACTACTCTCTTTTGTAGAGCTATAGAAATGCTTAATCTTTTAAATAGAGAGAAGGCTGACAGGTTCTCTTATCTTATAAAGTTAAAGGGGGAACTAAAACTCAGAAGCTTTGATCAATCAATCAACACTCAGGCTTTATATATGACTTTGTTCCAGTCTACATATTGCCTCTAGCTTTTCTTGCTCAATGTTGGTATCTATAGCACTAAGGCAGAAATAGTGAAACAGAAATTGTATACCTGGCAATGTAGTGCTTTCCAATATGAAGGAAGCATGTTGAAGTAATTTGGCTATATATTGCAATTGCAAAACAACATATGGAGAAAGAATGAGTATATTGTGAAGAATAGAAAATCAAGAAAGCTGTAACTGGATGGAATAGATGAGAACCCCAGAAAGAAAGAAAGGATGCTTAAAGAACTAAAGACAAAGTATAAAGCAATATACCATCCAAATTTGGTAGAAACAAGGATTAGCAAAGATAGAAAGCTTTGAAGGGGTATCATGAATGGTGCTGGTGTGAACTAGATTTAATTTTGATTAATTTCCTTACAACCTGCTTTTATTACTCCTTCTTCCTCTTTTTCTATGCTTTGCATAATGCTTATCCTGAAGGGAGTGCAGTCAGTCCTTGACTTATAACTAATTGAGCCCAGAATTAGATAGATAGATAGATAGATAGATAGATAGATAGATAGATAGATAGATAGATAGATAGATAGATAGATAGATAGATAACCTTTATTGTCATTTTTTTACTGTGGGCACACTGGAACACATTAAAAATGAAATTTGGTTGTTTGCTCTCAAAAGTGTACACATACACAACACATTTAAATATGCTATATACAACATATGTATAAATATACACCCTTACATATAAATAACATATAGATATTAATCACTGTCCATCTTGAGTACATAGCAGAAAGAGGAAGCTTTAGAGTTCACAAGATTAATACTGTATGGAACAAAGCTGTGACTGAATCTGGATGTTTTGCTTCGGATACGGAGCCTCCTCCCAGAAAGTAACAAGGAAAACAGGTCATGAAGAGGATGTATAGTGTCCCAGACAATCTTGTGGACTCTGTTCATGCATCACTTATATGCTATGTCCTGGATGGAAGGGAAGGAAATGCCAATAATCTTTTCCGCCATCCCCACCACTCTCTGCACCGCCTTCCTGTCTGAAGCAGTGATGCTTCCAAACCAGACTGTGATGCTGTATGACAGGATGCTCTCAATTATCCCTAAGTAGAAAGTGGTAAGGACAGGGGAAGGAAGGTGTACTTTTCTCACACAATGCAGAAAATGCAAGCGCTGCTGTGCTTGCGTTATCAGCGTCTCGCTTCTTGAGTGACCAAGCCAGCCTACTTGTTAACTGCACACCCAGAAATTTAATGCTGGAAACCATCTCCACAGGTGAATCATTAAGATACAGAGGGGTATGGCTTGGCCTGCCGGTTCTGAAATTGACAATGGTTTTACTAATATTTAAAACTAGACTGTTTTTCTGACCCCAGTTCCCCAAACCCTCAATCTCCTTGTGGTAAGCACCCTCATTGTCATCTTCAATAAGGCCCACTACTTTTGTATCATCTGCATACTTCACAATATGGTTGGTGGCAAATCTAGCACAACAATCATCGGTCAACAGGGTGAACAGTAACAGACTTAGGATGCAGCCCTGAGGAGAACCTGTGCTCAAGAAAATTGTGTAGAAATACTTGTTCCAGCTCACACATACTGGAGCCTGTTAGTAAGAAAATAAAAAATCCAGTTGCACAAAGGAGTGTTTAAGCCTAAAAGGCCCAGCTTGTCTACTAGATGCTGGGGAATGATTGTATTAAATGCTAAACTGAAATCGACAAACAACAAACATGAATATTTCTTTTCTCTAAGTGCTCCAAGCTCAGATAAAGGATAGAAGAAATAGTATCCTCTGTAGACAGATTTGGTCAGTAAGCAAACTGAAGTGGGTCAAATGTTGGCGGGAGGCTAGATACAATAATGTCATTTATTAGCTTCTTGAAACATTTCATAATGATGGATGTCAGTGCAACCGGATAGTAATCAATGAAACCTGTAATTATGAACTTTTTTGGCACTGGCAAAACGATGGCCATCTTAAAACACAATGGGACCACTGCCTACTGCAATGAAAGATTGAAAATATCTGTAAGAACACAAGCCAGTTCATCAGCACATCCCCTAAGAACCTACCCAGGGATGTTATCTGGGCCTCCTGCTTTCCAAATGTTAACTTTCCACGGTGTTTTCCAGACAGAGGTGACATCAAAGCTAAGCACCTGCTCATCAGGATGGGGCACAGCTTTCCTAGCAGGGGTGCTATTTGATACCTCAAATCTTCCCAAAAATGTATTTAGCTCATTTAAGAAATCTGTGTTGTCCTTGCATCTCGATGGAGACACCTTATAATCTGTAACGGCCTGGATTCCTTGCCACATGTGCCTAGTGTTTGTTGGGTCCAGAAAAAAATACAAATTTTCTGACAATGGGCTTGCTTTGCACCTTTTATGGCATTTTTCAAATTAGCTCTGGCTGTTCTAAGTGCCAGCATATCACCGGATTTAATTATAGTCATAAGTCATTGCAGTTGTAAGTTGGGGCATCACATGACTGGATTCAAAGTTATGACTGTTTTTTAGGGTGGTCATTAAGTAACTGCAGTGGTAGTTAAACAAATCAATTTTCCCCAACAGGTGAAAATTCAGTAACTAAACATTTACTCATCAGGTTATTCATTATAATTAAAAACAGAAAATACTGTTATTACTAAATTTTTACTTCCAGGAGAAATACTTGTGGGATTTCTTGATTCAGGTGCTAAAACAAATTAACCAGACAAGGATACCAAGCACTTAACTTACAGAAACTGTTTCTCTCAGATAGCAAATCATTGCAAAATAGCATATGGAATTACACAATGAATGTATGGCAAGGAATAGGAAGATAATCACATTCACTTGAAAACAGCATCTGATTGTCCTTGCAATTATTTAAAAATAGTAACATTTGGAATAGCCATCATAGTTTAGAGCAGGGATCCCCAATTCCTGGTCCATGGACTGGCACTGGGATGCGGCATGCCAGAAATCAGCTGTCCAAGCAAGTGAAGCCCCATCCGCAGGACTCAGGCAGTACATGAAACCACGCCTCTTCCGTGGAAAAACCTCTTTCTCTGCGGAACTGGTCCTGGTGCCCAAAAGGTTGGGATGCTGGTCTAGAGAAGGCTTACTGACTGATTATATATTTTCTCCATTAATAACATCCATGAGTTTGTAAAATGCCATGCAAACATTGATATATATATATCAGGCATGTAGTATCTCATGTAATTTTTATTAACTATCGATAACAGTCATAAAAAGTTTGCTTGCAACCCTACAGCCATACATCTAGGAATTAACAACCTTGAATAAAGTGGAACTCATATCCTTTATGAAAAAATATAGCATTACAGTACTAACTCAACAATATTGAGCTATCAGTCAGACTGATATTCCAAATTCTCTGCCTCAATTAACTGGATTTATTTTGGCTTGCCATACTTCCTTTAGTAAAAATGTCTAAAACAACTTTTGTCATATAGCAGTTAATGTGTTGGATTAACAAATTATAATCAACACTCACAAGATGTAATGAATGCATAAATGATTTTGGTGAAAGAGAGGAGGAGATACTGCCTACGAAACAATCAAACAAGAGAGGCAGGAAGACACCAGGAAACATTTTGTTTCTTTTTCCTTCAGTGTTCTTTGTTCCCTGATTAAGTTAACACAAAGTAACAATGTACCAGGTTACAGGAAAGCAACAGAAGCAGATCTAAGAAAAGACTATTGGATAGTATGCAGCTTTTATTTTATTTTATTTTTAAAAAAAAATGTTTGCTGAGATGATAATGGTCATGGAAAATATGCAGAAGCATGTAGTTTTGGATAAAGATTTACAAAAGAATCTTGATATGACAATTGCAGATCAAAGAGATATCTCCACAGAACTTATTGAGTCGATCCCATGTATCTGAAGTTCAAGCCTGCATATCCTTGCAAACAATACTAGGAGCCTGACAAAATGGGGACAAATTCTTTTTTACTCCAAAGACTGAGGGAGATTCGAGAATGGATTTATTACACGTAACTGGAAACCACATCTATTTGGACTTTGTTGGGAAGATAGATCCACTGTGGAAATTAAATTTATTACATTTAATTAGACAACAATTGATAAAGAGATGGCATTAGGAAACACAGGATATTTGATCCACAACAAATTACTTTTAACTTTTGGGGTAATTGATAGACAGGATGCTGTGATAAACTTTCTACGAGTGGATTACAATAATAGTTTGTTAATAGAGACTTTGGGATTTTAAACATTTTGGGGGATGCCTGTTTTGCAAGGGGTAATGTAATGTATTAATCAGTGTTCAGTTAGGGGAGATAATATGTGTATATGTGTAGGGTTTTTAATTCTTTCTGATGCATTTTTTAATTGTCTTATGGTTTTTTTGTTTTGGGTCCTTTTATTTTTTTTATTTAGTGTTGTATTTTAAACTTTCTTTTGAATAAAAATAAAATTATGACAAGAAAAAAAAAGGCAAGAGGCAGGAGGCGCCCACTCAATGGTCAGAGAAAGAAACTTGGGAAAGACCCACCCTAAAAGATCAAGTAATTAAAAAGGGAAGTGGGAAATCTGATCTTTCAGATTTGCAAGATTCTGTTCATGTAGCCTTACAATAAAGTAGAATAAAATAATCTTGTCATATTTCCTGTTTGGTTTACTTCGGAGGGCTGACATTAGAGGAACACAAGTGGAAGCGTGTAATCTATAGAAGCAAAATGATCAGGAGACACCGCATGCTAATGAAACTCAACAACCAGTATGGTTCTCTGTCACTATGAGGAGCAGAGCAGAACATTCAGTTGAAATTATACAGAAGGAGATTCAGAAAACGTATTAGGACACATTTTCTAAGGGCAACAGCTATCAACCAGTGGAAAAGGTTGTTTTCTAAACCAGTATCTTTCTCGTCACTGGATATGTTTATGGCGTCACTCTTTTGCCCCATAAAACTCAGCACTGCAATTTGCAAAACAAAACTTTGCAACTGAGTGGTGCCTCAGCCAAGCTTAAAGAAAATTGGAATAGCTATTCAAGGAGTACGGTGACATGGGAACAGAAGAGTACTGAAGGTACCAAATTTCATATTTATTCATTTTATTTTAAGATATACAGATTTATCCTATTGAGGTTCTAAGTGGTGTACACCAATAAAGGTAATAATAATCCAAGATTAATAAAATAACAATAGATAGCAACATCAATGTAATCATTTGGCACTAAAAGTTTTCACTATGAATCAATCAGCAAAGCCCTACTGGAAGACCCAATGTTTTATAATCCTTCATGCTCTTCCATTGTATCTGTTGATATATGGGACCCTCAGCAGTCATTCTCTCTTCACAGATTGGGTGAGTGGGGCTTCAAAATTCTATTGAAAAACTTCATAATAAGAACTGAGGTAGTAAAAAGCAACAAATTTCTAATAAAGTCTCATAATTAGTTTATAGAGTATAACTTCAAATATAATATATTGTTACCTGGAACAAATCTCCATTGAATTAAATGATGTGCCTATATCAGTTTGTAAAACAATATTCAACTAGATAGTATATAAATTTCATTTATAGATAAACATACTTTTAATCTCTAATATAAAGTAATAATAATAATAAGGTAAAAAATCTACTTAGCTTTCAGTCATCATCATTTTTCTCATTTCTTCAGTTCCTCTACTCTGTTACCAACTAACATTTGAAAGTTATTTGCTTTAAAGCTTTGAGCAAATAAAAATTAATGGATCTGCTTTGAAAAAAAACATTATAATATAATATAATAATATAATATAATATAATATAATATAATATAATATAATATAATATAATATAATATAATATAATATAATATAATATAATATAATATAATATAATATAATATAATATAATATAATATAATATAATATAATATAATAATATAATAAATATAATAGTATAGTATAGTATAGTATAGTATAGTATAATATAATATAATATAATATAATATAATATAATATAATATAATATAATATAATATTATAATATAATATAATATTATAATATAATATAATATTATAATATAATATAAAATATAATTTCTTAAGTCTCTCAGTTGAAGTGATCAGTATCAGTTTATCCATACTTTACAAATGTGAATGTGTAGAGTAACAAACTTCTCTGAAAAAATTCAATATACAACTGGCATGGTTTCTTCACTTAAGATTATAATTCCATGAATATTGTTTTGATACATTTAAACTCTTAAGACAATTCTACCACCACTACTATTACTAATAATATTGTTGTGATGCATCAACATAGCAGAATTGAGTTTACCAGCAAAATAACATATCTTTATTAAATAAAGCTGAGTGCATAATGTGACAAGGCAATACTTGAGTAATGTTTAACTTTAGTCTTTCCTGGAAAGACAAAATGAATATATACGAGAAGCAAAAATGATCTTTCAAGGCTAATTTCACCCAAATATGATCAATATGCAAGCATGTAATACCTTGAAGCTCTTTATAAGTATTAAAATTATGGAAGCATACGTAGTTGCAAGTCTGTAATTATTGATTGCCACTTTGGGTTTTTTTCAGTATATAATATTAAGGATTTTGATTACAACAGTAAAAATGTATACAAACTAAAGTTAAATAAAGAAAAAATAAATAAAATAAAAATAGCAAGTGAAAAATAGAAATAGAGAAAATAAATAATATGATAAATAAAAAGACTTTCAACATTCATTACAACTATAGGCAATTTTTTAAATTCTTCACTCAATATAAAGTTACAAGCAGATATCACTTCATCCCGTAGCCCATCCCTTATCTATTAGGAAATCCATAAAACATTAACATTTCAAGTCTGGTTTCATCCTATATGCTACAAAAGAGCCCTTGGAAATAATAACAAAGGCTTCTGAAAAGATATTCAGATTAGAATTCTGTAGGCAGTGGTTTTCCCCGTAATTTATGGAAACAAATGCTGATTTTGAAGAATCAGCATTTGCACTTACTTATTTATCAAATCTGTATATGCATCCATTTCAGCAAAATCAACTCTGGGTAGTGCACACCAATCAGGTTAGAAACCACAAATATGAAAAACAGATATAAAAATATATAAAAATCTAATTAAGAAATAAATAATATAAAAACAAATATTTCAGTCCATGAAAAGAGGATAAAAATGGCCTATGCCATTAAGAACTTTAAAGATTAAAACCAGCATCTTAACAGGACTTAGAAGCAAACTGACAACCAATGCACCACCAGAGCAGAGGTGTAACATGACTTTTTTAGGAGCATACATAACTGCCTATGCCATGACATTCTGTACTA